CCAAATGCATGTGTGCTGTAATTGCAAATGCCCTTGATGGCCCTGAGGGATGATTAAACCAAAAAGAGTAGGCCATTCCCTAAAGAGTTACTGTGGCCATTGGCATGTGGGCAATGAGGGAGAGATGGTACGTGAGGAAGGTCGTCTTAATTATGAGTCTTAAATGTGACACAAACTCTGACCGGATTAAGATGGTAATCCCTAAACTCCAGTAGGGCGCAGGTCAGATGGCCCGGTTCTTTAATCCTGTTGCACCGTACTGTTCCTCCAGATTTGCCAGATTCTTTATCTGTAGGCGTTGAGGTATGGAGTTTCCATCCAGGTGTTTTCTAACCGCTTCTTCAATACAGGGTCACAGGGGAGCCGGAGCCTATCCCAGCCAGCAGTGGGTGCCAGGCAGGGCTCCCCCAGGCTGGGGGACCCCAGTCCACCACGGGGCAGACACAGACCCAGTCACACTCGCACCAGGGCCAGTAAACCTACCAGCATCTCTTTGGACTGTGGGAGGAAAACCGAGCTCCCAGAGGACACCCATTCTAACACACACACACAGACAGCACCCCAGGAATTGAACCCAGAGCTGTGGGCCACCCGCTGCCCTGCAGTCTCATCAGCTTCACTTTTTTAGATGAAGTATTTTTATGAATGGACATTTGTTGGGATGGCGACTGCTGTTAACGAAGTATAGCATTATCAATCAAACGGACCATTATACTAATTAAACAGATGTTAAGACATCTTGAGATTGCAGTGCAAGATACGCTTATTAATCTGTTGTTCTGGGAATTTTAATTGCGTTAGTGGATTTCTGCGGGTGTTTGAAAATAGTTGTTGTTCTTAAAGAAGCTAAATATTTTGTCTCCTTCATAAGGGTGTGTCTCTAAAAGGGGTATTAAAATTGCCTACAAACACCCACTAAAAATCTGTGTTCTGAAAAATAAAGCCTATAAAAAACCTTTCTCAGGATGTGTTTTTCCTCGAGCCAGTGCTGTAGTGCCGAGCATCAGGAAATCCCAGCTGACTTTCCTGACAGTGGGATTGCATCATCTCTGCAACAGTGCTTTGCTTTTCTCTCTAGATCAATAACGCGCTTTTGATGGCTGCTGGAGACCATTACAAGACCTCTCTTGTTCTTCATCCTGCCATTGTTGACTGAGAGAGAAACAGGCAGACACCCCCCCTCTTGAAAAACACCTCAGCACTAGAGTGTAGCTGGTGGTCCCTAGTAAATTGTTTGACAGAAGGAACTCTGAGATTACATTTCCATCTCTTCTAATGCAGAAGGAGAGTGTTCTTGGTGACCTTAAAAAAAAAAAAAAGACCAGAAAAAACCTTGGGAATCGTTATATTGAAAAATATTCAGCATAGAGGTTTTGCTTTTGCTTTTGACTGCTTCTGTGGTGGGCCCTGGCGTCTCAGGCCTCTGTGTTGCACGATGGCTGTGCAGTAGCCCAGTTGTGAAAGGTGGCCCTTCCTGTGAGTGGTACTGTAGTTTCCTCTCAGTGGCACTGTGGCACAGCTGCAGGTGCAGTGATCCTGCTGGCCAAGATGGACTCCCTAATCAGCAGTGTAAATTTCGTGCTGTCTGCTGGTCTAGTTTAATGTGCAATCGACCGATTCTCATTTGTCTCCCGATAAGAGGGAGGCGTATATCTTGAGAGAACCAGCAGGAAAAGAAAATGCAGCCCCAGCCCACTGCTCTGCTTTAAGACTCCCCTTATTCCAGCAGGGCTGTGACTGTCAGCGAGTGTCATAACCAAAGGATCCTTCTTGTCACAAGCTTGCCTTATAGAGACTCGCAGATAATAAAGAGCAGTAAATAGGGACGCCCTTCTAAATCCCTAACTGGGAAAAGACGAAAAACTCGCCAAAGAAAGTCTGTTGTACAGCAAGTTCCTCAGAACCCTTTCAGTGCTGAAGTGCTCTTCACAAG